ACAAGGCTTGGGCCTCATCAATATCCTCTGGGTCATCTCTGATTTCAGTTTCTTCTCATACAATTCACGGTTGCACTGCGTGGGTTCTTTGATGGCTTGATGCATGACTGCAATCCCAGCAGCTGCAATCCCGGGACGACCTCTGCAGACCCTGGGTTCTTTGGCATGGCCTTGATTTCAGCCTTGGCCTTGACTGCTCCCTTGGCAACTGATGCAGGTGCTGCTTTCTCCGTCGAGGGCAAAGAGAGTAGCGATGTCAGCGGAATACTCGGGCTCGGGTTGATGCTCTTGAGCCCCAGATGTTACGGATTCAACAACTGTCGCTACTGCTTTACCTTTAGAATCTTTACCTTTACCACCTTTGCCTTTACCCTTGGAGTTCTGGTTGTACCAACTACTCTTATTCCAATCAGTCTTGTGCCAGTCATTCTTGTTCCATGAATTGTTCCATGACTTGGAATTGGACAAACTTAAACCTTGTCCCTTCTGTTTGCCTTTGTCGTTTCCTTTGCATCCATCTTGATTCTTTCCTTTTCCTTTGCCACCTGTAGAGCCGCCTTCGCCCTTTCCTTTGGCTTTTGCTAGACTCGCAAGTGAAGCTTGCATCTGACTGGCAGCTGTGGCCTATGCATCAGCATCCGCTGGCGCTGATCCAGTCTTTGCTTCTCTTCAGCTCTCGATGTTCTCGAGGTAGGCCAAAATCTCTGACTTCATGGCGTCATAGCCAGTGAGTCTTGAGCTCTGGAGGTCAAGGTTGTGGAGGTCAAGGTGATCTTGGAGCTTTGCTGGACATATCTGTTGCAGACAGCTCCTGGCAATGTCTTCATCAAGTGACTTTCGCATGATGTTTTCCCAGGCTTCAATGCTTTCTCGCACGTCTAATGCACATTGCTGTGGGTGCAAGACTTCTTCAGCAGTGCTGAGTTCACTTGTGGGTTCTGTGGATCATACTTGATCAGGGCCTGTCTGGCCTGAGCTGAAACAAGCTCGGCTCCTTCAGGATTTTCTTCCAGAGATGTGTCATTGATCTCTGTGTCTCGGGGTGCTCCTCAAGGAGTTGGATGCACCTTCCTGCATTCTTATTTATTATTCCAACCTCTCTGAAATTGAAGTACCATGAGTCCCAGCTGTCTCGCACTTCCACACTAGTTGCGATGTTCCCTGCGATAGCCGTTTGCTGCGTGTATGCTCCTCCTATTGCTTGTTGTAGTTGGTTCTGCCCTTGTGCTAGTGCTTGCATCATCTGTGTGAATTGCTGCGCGATGTCTGTAGGCTGTGCCTGTGCTCCTTGTGTTGGCGGATGCGCCATGTTGCCTTGCTGGCCCGGGCTGAAGCAATCCGGCTTTCCTGCAAATGATGTTTGTAATGACGGATCCCCGGTGCCAGAACTGATACAATTCGGCAGCGTTCGATCCGTTGGGTCTTACAACCACAGCTCCACCACCATGAACGGAGATTTAACTTAAACTCACAAACGTAGTGACCCTGTGTCAAGAATACCCAAAGGATACGTTCAAAGCTTAGGCACACTTTTCACTCAAACTCTTGAGTCTGTCAAAGTAAGCAAAATGAACAGAAACGTGAGCTAACCGGTTGCAGTGAAACATGCACCTGTACACAACTTGAGCCATGTACATGTTACTGGTGCTACATCTGATCACGACTACACGCGCAGCAAAAAGAATAGTGTTTCTCACCGTTCAGACCTCCCCGATTCAACTGGGGCATCCCGGCGCGCCAGTTCCAACATTGCTCGCGGCCGTGAGCTGCTGAACGCAATAGCCGAACCTGGGCAGTAAAAACTAACCCCATGAGGGCAACATCTTGCTCAAAGCGTTGTTGGATGAGGAACATATGTGTGCTACGAACCAGGTGCTCTTTACGAAACCACAAAACCTGTGGAAAAGAATGAAGAACCGCGCACGTCAAAACAAGCAAACCAACAAATTCCACGCTCGTGTAAATTTGCTGCAGTTTGGTCTGAAGGTTGCAGGTCGAATCTGGGTTCCCGGACCAGTTTTCGATTGATGGCCATAGACCAAGGATAGTCGAAGTATTCCTGCAACTCATAATTGTCGGGCATGTGGTGTGGTTGTTGCGCGCGGAGGTCACACGAAGTTCGATTTCCCCAGGCCTTGCCTCAATCACTTGGTTCAGAAATTCTGCCGCGCGTCCGCTGGCACCTGGGCCTGTCGCTGATGCATGCGTGTGGCGTTTCTTGCACACAACTGAGTGTGCCTGCAGACCTGGAAGCCGCAAAGCAACACGCTGAACAATAGCAACAACATGAGTTCATGCCGTCGTCTTGATTTGGCCAAAGCGCATGTCGATCCTTCCAGAAATTGCGGGCAGCATGCTGACAGGTGGCGAACATGAAGGGTAAGGCCTTGCGAAGTGACTGCTTCTGCCGAGAGGCCACGGTGCACGAACCACATCGTTTTACGCAAGCCGATCGCACCTATTGGCTGAAACATTGTTTCATGCTTTAACCTCCAACCATGGGTATAGGAGCCAAGGTAGGAGCAATTGCCGCTTGCAGCATGCCTACAACAAGGTTTGGCATTTATCATTGCATGAAAAGGTATCCGGTAGTTGGGCTACAAGCTGCAGGAAGTATAGAGCTTCACATATGTTATGAGGCTTGCGTGCCTGCCAAACACGACTCACAAGGCAGCACTGCCACCAATTGGAAACCCCAACTTGAAAAAAGTACGGAATATATATATATATATATATATAATTGTGGAGCTTCTTGAGGGACAAAAAGTTAAGAAGGTGAAGTGGAAAAGGACGGACCACGGGTAAAAGCATATGGGAAGGAAAGGAAGACAACTTTGGGCACCGATGTTGATGCACATGAGGGTGAGGTCGCCGTGGGATCTGTGTTTGTTAGCCCATGCCAAAAAGTATTCTCAGAACCATCGGCTAAACATTGCTCACGCACAATGCATGGGCTGCAAGCAAGTGCGAATGACCAATGTCACAATGTGGGCTGGCTATCAAGGGCTAAAGGCCCCTGAGCTGCCACGGAGCAGGTACATTACAATGAAACATGTACGGCTTGCCAACCAAGCTAATGGGCCGCTCTTCCACATCACCAAAAGCAGTTCAAGCCTTGGACCATGAGCTGCCACATGAATGACAACAGCAACAAGCATAAACCGTCCCCTCCAAGTGTGGTGAGTCTGCACAGCTTTGTCCACAGGTTGCAAAGACCTCGTGCGTGCTTCGCCATGACCACCTCTGCGTCCCGTTACAGCCAAAAAAACCGCCATCTTGATAGCATGTAGTCAACGAAAACACCATCGCGCAGCAATTTGCTCATTGTAAACCTATTGGTCAATATATGGTTGTGGACTTAGCGACAAACATACTGCAGTAAACAAACATCTATGCTCTGTGAGAGTCCCTTTCTCGACTGCCCTATCTGCACACAGTTACGCCTTCCCGTTTTTCCTCGACATTACCTATATTTTTTCTTTTGGACAGGATGAAATCAGTGCCTGTATAGGTCATCCAGTTGTCATTTCAGTGAAGCAGATTCCGATGGCGGCCGAAAATCACTTCGGCACAACTCGAAGGCGCTCCTTATGGACGCCGAAGGGGCACGTCCGTTTGACGCCGAACACGCAGCCATGCGATCCGCGGAACGTACATAGCAACACCAACACAAGCCCGAATCGAGCAATGGAGCGATGCCGACTTGATATCGCTCTATTCGAGGCCTTCGAGAAAAAACAAAAAAAAACACCAAAAAAAACAGATGCTCAGAGTGCATGTTCTAACAAAGACTGTCTTCTTGGTCACGAACACCCACTTGGTGGGACAAACATTTAAACTCGTTTTATCACGCGAAACCGACACGCGGGGCAGAGGACGCTCGCGTCCAAAAACGACATGGTGGCGACGAGGTTGCAGCAGAAGGCACTGAAGTGGAGGCATGCCCATCCATCTTGAAATCTTTATGGCACTCATGCCTCAATACCATCTCAAAATGATTTCAAGAATGGATGTTCGCCGTCCGCACAGTAGATATTGTTTCTCGGCCCAAAGCCCGAAGTTTCGGAACGGCAACGGATTCCCCATCTTCCCCAAATACCCGCCATGTCCTCCCATGTCCTCCCATTTCATGCGATCACATCATCGCATGTCGGACTAGATCCCAAACCCAGCTGCGGCTTTGGCGATCAGCTTCAGTAAGCGTGCGTGGCTTTGAGCAACAAAGAGTATCAGAATCTTACATGTTCAAACAACCATGCCTCGGCGAATGGCTTTGGACAGAAAGAACCTCGGCTCAAGAGTTGGGCAGTTTTGGACTTCACAAACGGCTAAAGCAACATAAATTTCAAAGATCTCGAAATTGACCTTCCAAACCCTATTGACCAAATGAAGCCTCAACCGGATCTTGAGATCGGAGCGCCTTTTTGGAAGACTTTGGACATCGGACATCACCAACGATCCACAAAAGAATCCATCTCTCACTTGGCGAAGCATTTCGTCACCCGGTCTAAGCACGACTCGGAATGGATGGAACGTCGTCGGAGAGGGTCCCAGCGAGTTCGAAGATGTGCCAATCTGTCCTATTTTGGAAGGCTCAAGGCCTGTGGACACGGACGAATTTTACTGCTTTCATTCTTGGACTCAACCGAAAGGCGCTTTCAACGAGTTCCAAAAGAGGAAGGTCCTATAGCCTAGCAAGGGGTTGAGGAACTCCTGGTAGCTACTTGCTTCATCTTGGCTCCCTGTTGGGGAATATACCCACGGTGACCCAGTCGCTCCCTGAGCAACAGCTAGTGTCTCACTTTTCCAGCAGAATTGTGCCCAAATTGCCAAGCTCATTGGAAGGCATTGTGGCCGGTGAATTATACAAACAAGTTAAAGCGTCCATTTGTCAGACTTGCTAAAAGAGATTCTCTAAAGCCTGATGCCATGTGCTGAAACAACATGTCCAGATTCTTTCATATGAGCAACACAAGAGATATCATACTTTCTTCAGCTCATCAGGTTCGCACATAAATCTCATACTTCTGACCTGGCTTCATGTCTTCTTCATGAACCACTTGGCCAGTTTCATCCTTGATGGTCACTTCAGCGTCAGGACTCACCGTCTTCAAGACGTCGATCCCTTTCAAAAGATTCGATTTGGGGCCGCTGGCGGAGTTCATCAGCTTCCCATCCAAGTACCTCGACCGACCGGAGCTCCAGTAAGATCGGTAATTGTTTGTACCTGTTCATGGCGGTTTTAAGGGCTCTTCTGAAGTCAGTACAAGCACCATATCGTCTAGATATTGGATTGATTGGATTTTGATTCAAGATATTCAAGTGAATACATGCCCCGAAATGGGAAGGAGCACATGCCCCCGGATTCCACTTCCTCCAATCTTGCGACCATCGGCCGATCTGCGAAGGGCGCTCTTCAGCCGCGGCACACGTCGATGGTCACATCCACATCGCCCTCGACCGTCTCGTTCCCCGTCACGTTCACCACCCGGACCGTTGCGTTGCTCGCATTGCTCGCATTGCTGGCGTTCATGGGTGCCACATCCTCCAGAACAACATTTGTGACTGGATGGAAGAACTCCAGGCAAAGTGACTGGGCAAGTAGTGGATTTCTCCATCTTCCGGTACCGCGGAAATGAAGGAAAACCACCGAGTGGGTTCCCTGAGTCTTCTGCTAGTCACAGCTGTGGACATTTATATGATACATTTGCTGTTTTGTCTTCTTGTGCTCCTGGAAACCAGTGTATGCTTGTGGCAAAAGTCATGTCCCACCTTGAGATTCTGAAGATTCACATAGATCTTGTAGGTGTTGCCAGGCTGCATATCCTTGGAACTGAGACAGGTCCTATCCGCGCGGGTCAGGCGCAAAAGAACCTTCTCTGATCCTCTGATTGTGCCATTTGGCATCCAACTTCGCAGTTAGTTGGTTTTGCAAGATGCAAATCTCTGTCTGAGTTTCTTGGAACAGTGATTGTCTTGCAAGAGCGGTTGGTGTGATTGTTTGGATTCAGGGAGGTATCGTGATCTACAACATGAGCTCTCAAAATTCTTAACCAACTCTTGGATCAAGCAAAAACACAACCCAAGCCTGCCTGCTCCTTTGGAGGAATCCAAGTGGAATCCAATATCTATCATCAACGGAGGATACTAGAGATCCTTCTATGTAGCCCGATGTCCCCCGTCATTTGCTTCGAAATGCTTCGAACATGTGTTCCCGATGGCAGCGGGTAAACCCGGCGTGACCGACCAACCGACCTCTGCTGTGTGGGACCCAGCCGCCACGTCACGCGCCAGCCACACGTCGACCAAGCAGCTGTACCATTGATCACATGGCCAGCGTCATCTTCTATTCGGAGCTCTGCATCGGGACTGACCTGCTTGGGGTCGCTCCCATGAGGGGCGCCAGGCCCCGGCCGTAGCAGGCATGGCCCGGCATGCTCCGCCATGCAAAAACAAGCAGGAATCACCCCGAAAACTGCTGATTTGAACAGTTCGTGAGAAGGTCTCAAAAAAAGTTTGCAAACTGCAAGTGAGCATTTTGGGTCATTTGGGGTAAAAGTATGTGAAGCAAGGAGTCGATCTCTCCATTCGCCCAAGAAGGCGCCCCGGCCTCCTTCAGCACCTCAATACCCTTCTTCAACGCTGCTAGAGGCCCCGACTGAGTCTTCTTCAGCCTGAAATGCTCTGCGCGACCGCTGGCTGTAGGAGGCAGCAGTCTACCCATCGACCCATCGGTAAATACTGTGTTTTTTCGCTCAGCTTCTGGTGATCCAATAAACCGCGAAAGGAACCGGTGAGGCAAAAGGCCAAAAGATCCATATTGGCACTGGTGAGAACTTCCTGGTTGGAGGGTCAGGGTCATCTCCAAGTATTGGATCTTGATTCACACTCTCTAAATCTTCACTCCCGGATATTCCATCCAAGGTCCGAGGAGGTTTACTATTTAATCAAAGAGGCTAAACGGCCAAACTACATGATGCCCAAAGCGAGACGCCCACAAGTAGAGCAAGATAGAGCAAGGTACCAACTTGCTGCAAATCCAACGTGCTCCATTATATATCATACCAGGACCATCCAATGGGTGTCCAATGGACTACCCTGCACTACTTAGGGATCTCCATTGGATGGTCCAGGTATATACTGAGACTCATACAACACCACAAACACTCTGTGCTTTCGCACATGTTGCTGTGGGTGTCGAGGGTGCACTGCCTGATCAGAAGTACTGGATGCTGTCCATTCACATCCAAATCACATGAACAAAACAGGTTGTTCCTGAAGTGCAAGTGGGTCAATCCCCAGTTACAAGGTGTTGATCCGCACCCAAGTGGAACACCCAAGTGGAATCCCTTATCGCTCTCAAATGGTTGATGGCGGTTGATGGATTTGATGAACCTTTGATTGTTGATGCAAATATATATATATATAGAGAGATTATACATGTTGTTGTCCATAATCTGTACTGTACCAATAAGTACTATATCAACTTATAGATGATAGACTATTACAACTCGCAGAAACTCAAGATGTTACGAGACTCCAAAGAAACGACAAAAGAACAACACGATGTCAGCCCTGAAGAAAAAGCAAGGAAACCAATCGAATCAACTCTTGGCACAGTCTGGCTGCACTCCATCCAAGTAGGTCGAAATGGTGACGTTTGCTTCAACCTCCTTGGTCACGTTCGTGACGTTTGTCACATTGCTCAGGTTCGTGAGGTTGGTGATGTTCATAATGACTTCTGTCGGATCCTGGTCCGAGTTCCAGCGAAGCCCGAGTTCGAGTCGCGAGTCGCGAGGTTGTCATGAAACTGCATGAACGTCCATAACCAACATCTGCCCACCAACAGGCTGGTTTTTAGACATGGTCACAGCTGTTTTCTTTTTTTCAGGCGCGTCTGCAAGCCGCGAGCCGGCATGGAACAGTCGCCCGTGCCGTGCAAGCTTTTTCAAATCAGCATCTGTTTTGGTTGCCCAAATCCTTGAAATCATCACGGAAAATATGGATGAACATCGCCCCGCAAGGATGACCACTTTCCTGTTCTGTATTCAAAAGCATGTGGTTTTCCAAACGTGTTTCACTTTGCATGTGTTTTTTCAGAGAGTTGCCACATGGATCCTCTGTACTTTGTTGTCGGTTTGCACCGGGCCTCAGGTGCCTCTCGGACGTGCAGGCTGTTGGCCTTCCGTTTGGCCTTGGATGGTCGGTCGAGCGATGGTCCTCTTACACCGAAGATGGCCTCCACCCTAGTAGCGATGGCCGCCAACCTACTAGCGATGGTTTTCCAACCTACGGAGGTAAATACACCCTGGAGAAGACCCACATGGAGAAGACCCACATTACGCCCGGTTTGTAGAGGAAAATTGTCTTCCAGCTTGGTCCATCCCATCAGGTTCCATGTTAATCTTCCCAGGTGTAGTGTACATGGTGGATCCATGTCTGCTTCGTGATGTGCCTGAGTCTATGGTTCCACTCTTCTCCATCGTATCAAGATTTCTCAAACAAGTGGGGACATGGCGGACAAGTGTAGTAGCGATGCCCTTTGCTCCTAGGAGCGTCCTTGCTCCTAGTAGTACGGCCAAGAGCGCTTCTTGCTCCTAGTAGCGATGCCAGGAGCCCCTAGTAGCGAACATTGCTCCTATTACCATGTGGAACTTGGTGTCTGATTTGGTGAGTGCTTGAGCCCATCCATCTGGCCTGAAGAAGCTCCAGCGCGACATCATCCTCAAAGCATCCATCACTGACGGAGCAATCGGCCAGCGAGGTGACCCAAAGAAGGGTGGCCAGCGCGATGCGCATCACACGGAGGTCGAGCATGGCACAGGGCTTTTGGAAAAAGATAGCGACCGCGGCGGGAACGAGAATTTAAGAGTTGTCAAGGAGTTTTTGAAGGCTTTTCCGGGTGGGGTGGAAAGGAATGGGCCCTAGGATGCAAGTCTACCGGTTCTGAGATCAAACATGTCTAGCTTCTGTGTCGATTACCATCCGAGCCAGGTGGGCCTGCCGTGCGAAAGGAGACGTGCGAAAGGTGAAGAACCTGACAACTTGGCCAAAGAACTCGGACTTGCTTAAGATGCTGAAGGATACCAGGAACTATCCAAACACATCCTGCCAACAAAAAGGGTTCATGAAAGGGAAAACAAGGGCAAACAAGCAAAACCATGGTAATGATTCCAGTGTCAGGCTGCAAGCAACAAATTAGACAGTTGCAGAACCCAAGCACGGTTGCCAAAAAGGGATCCATGCCCAAGCCTTGCCGCTCTTCCCCTATACAATAGCTGGATCCTTAATGTTGGTGTCAACTGCAATCACTTGACTGGACAACATCACGAGGAACTGAGCATTTTGAGGGGACTTGTTTGGTAGTGTTGGGTAACCATCTTTTGTAAGAGCAAAGCTTCCAGATTTTCTGTTGAAGTGGAGTTGAAGAACCACAAAGTCTGCTGAGTCCAAAAATCTCCGGGTTTGGAGTCCAATAAGGACACCTCTCGGGTTTGAGCGCCACTCTTCCAGTCCAAAACCTCTCAATCCCAGGCTCCGTTGCCACAAGCGACGTGCCACTCACTGCCGCTTCGCCGCCGCGCTTCCTTCGCTCCGAGGGGCCCCAGGAAGTGGCAGGCGGCCGCCGCCATCTTCCCCGGGTGCGTCGTCCGGGAACTCTCCTCGCCTCGCTGTGTGTGTGACAAATGGGTGTTTTCGGAGCGGAGAGGCGCACGGAACTCAGGACGAAACAACACGACATTTAAAAAAAACACCCAGTCAACGACCGTTTGGGAGTTGTTTTTTGGGGGGGCACGGAATGGTTCGGGGGCTGGTTAGGAGATGTTTTTAAGTGCTGCTGAAAAAAAAAGCGTTGCTTCAAAGTGACTTGTAGACTCGTAGGTGCTGTCAGGAACATAAATTGTTTAGCTACGATGTGATGACCTGGTTTCACTCAAGAACCTCGTGTGACAAACAAATGGCTGCTGGAACAAAAGCATTGCAGCCTCTCCCACTGAGGCCAGGGCTGTAGTGCGCTGCCTGGCATAGGACAAACCAAAAGAGGTCAGACGTCAGTGCCATGGTGATGAAAATTATGCTTGGAATTTGTGGACCAACAACATTTGCACAAGCGAAGAACGATTAAATTCAAGAGAATCTCTTGGAAGGAACATGACTGCACCATACTGTAACGCACCAACCTTGAACCCCCATCCACACCCAAGCAAGCCCTTTGACATGAGAGGACCAATGAGACTAGATCTGGCTGGTCGCACCTGGCTCATCACCAAAGATTTGAGGCAAAACCCTTTGTTCATGCTTGGGCTCATTCTGGCAGCTTGCACCTGGCTCATTCGCAGCCCATGATCGGACCTGCTCACAGCTGTGGCTGAAGAAGATCGGTACAGGCGCAAGGCCTAGGCACCGTTCCGCCCACGCCCTATTTGGTTCACTGCAGTATCTCCCGGAAGCCTGACGGATGGAACACCGGAGCCACGCTTCGCGGAACGAGGGGTCCAGCAACTCTGGGATGTGCAAAACATGTCTTTACGGAGCATGTTGGCACTTGTCTAGCTGCAAAGTGCAGATCTACATGCGTACAAGACAGAGGGAGCACTGACTCAAAGCCAGGAAGCGTTTATAATTTTACAATGTTATATACTATCTGATGTTATAGTGTATATATTTATTAATTCCGACACTATCAGATAGCATATAACATCGGCAGGAATGTATACATTATTTTTTGGTCTATCTGATGTATACATTCCTGGCTTTGAGTCAGTGATCCGTACATACATGAGCCGTGTATTGGCCACATGGCACGAGGTTGCACAGCTGCACAACATGGACGATGCAAAGTACCTTACTGGTGAACATCGACTCTTCACAAGTAGTGTCCCACCTACATTTGCCTAACCTTGGAA